GCGTCTCTAATCCAAAGAAATTTGTTGCAAAACTGGGGAGGTTAGGGTTAGACTTTATTGGCTTTATTGGATTTATACAATGGTAAAAACAGAAAAACGTAAGGTCACTTATTTCGACAGAACACCTGATTTGTGAGTGTGTACGTTTGTGTGAATGAAACAAAACACAACATAGATGTGTTTGTGATGAGAAAACATTATAACATAGACCAGAAAATAGTGTAATATGGGTCTTTCTTACTAACAGGGAGCAGACTGTTAGGATTAAGGGCTGCTTCTCCCCACCAACAACTCTCAACACCGGTTCCGAGCCCCCTGCTGTATACTCTAACATATGACTGTTTGGCTTCTCACCCGACCTGTCAGATTGTTAAATTTACAGATGACACTGCTGTTGTGGGATTAATCTCGGAGCAAGCAGGCATAAAGACAGGAGGTACAGCTGCTGGAGACCTGGTGCAGAGAGAACAACCTCTGCCTGAACCTTTTAAAAACGATGGAGTTGATAGTGGATTTTAGGTGGAACAGCTGTTCATCGCTGCCTCTCTGCATCAAGGGCACAGAAGTTGAAAGGGTGTCCTGCTGGAAGTATCTGGGTCTGCACATCACCAACAGCCTAACTTGGTCCATTAATGCAGCTAGCATTGTAAAGAAGGCCCACCAGCGTCTATTTTTTGAGGAGACTCAAGGCTGCTGGGCTAGGCCTCCCTGCTCTCATGTCTTTTTATAAATGTGGAGTGGAGCGTGTGTTGACTCAGTCCATCACAGTGTGGTACGGCCACTGCTCAGCCCAGGACAGGACAGATCTACAGCGTGTGGTCAGAGCAGCAGAGAAGATCACTGGATGTGACTTTACACCCATCAGTGAAATTTATGAGGAGCGTTGTAGAAGACGGGTCTCCAGGATCATGGGGGACCCCTCGCACCCTCCCACCACCTGTTTGTTCCTCTGCCTCTGGGAGGAGACTGAGGAGCATTAAAGCCAGAACATCTCGGCTGAAGTTCAGCTTCTTTCCTGAGGCTGTCAGAGTTTTGAACAGTGCACACTGACTTCCTGCTTGGGCTGCCTCTCTATCTTGCCACGTTTTACTTGTACTTGTCTATTGGAACTTCTAAATGTTGTTGTTTTTGATGTATTAACTTTTTAATATTGCTTATTTATTATTGTTTTTATCTCTCTCTGGATCACTGGGCCTCAGGGAGCACATTTTGTTCTGTCATGTGTCTCTCACATGCTTGAATGACAAATAAAGAACCTTAACCTTAACCTAACCTTAACACAAACTTACCTTTCGTTCTCCGCTCCTGAATCAACGCAGTCATCTTTTACCACTATTTTCTCCATCTCAAATCCTCATTCAGTCCTCTCCGCTCACCTACTCCACCTTTCCGAGCGAATCAAAGCGGACTGACAGCATCCCAAACTCAGATACAGCAGGTGGTTTGTCTCGCTGTAGACAGAAGAAAGCTCTGTGGTCCTCAGTCTCCTGCGTCAGCATGCTCTGCTTCCTCCAAAAACTGTGCTAGAAAAATCTTGACAAGGAAAATTTTGCTGTTTCAATTTATAGAAACTGCCTTTGGATGTGAATGTACATGCTCTGTGAACCTCATTTTCCTCTAATAGTTTTGTAGTTGTCTTAATGTGTATGTCATTACAGGTTTTCACTCTGCAGGACAGAACTTTGAACGACTCAGACGTGAGGCCCATTCTGCTCTTCCTCCTCCAGAAGACGAGAGATACATCAGACTGAGTGATGACTGGGTCATGTCTCCGCTGTCCATGTCCAGAATCTCTGAAGATGAAGTCCTGAGCCACTGAGGAGGAGGAAGTCCAGACTGCAGAAGACCTGTGGAGCCTCTGGTTGCATCAGGCCTCCTGCACATTCTGTCTGCTGCTGTCCCTAATGTGTTCTGATAGTGATGTGTCCATAAAGTTTAGGTTTAACTTCTAATTTCCTACAAAAGTGAAACAGTAAAATCGTAGTTTCTTTTCATCTTAGCTGAGGAGCACATAAACAGCTTCATCACAAGGAAATGATCTTAACAAGTGTGTGAGGTAAAACTGAAAACATATAATTTGCTCATAAGTTTATACTGACATTTGATTCATGATGAAATGTGTCTCTTTTGATAGTAATTATAATTACATGTCCTATGAGAATGTACTATTGTACTGCAGTTAAGCAGTGGTATGCCACCTGAAGATATTTTGCAAAGATAATTTGTTCATTTTGGATTGTCACCTGCTTCAGCAAAATGGGAACAACTATTTGACAGTACACAGACCTACAGCTGTTTGTACTCATATTCAGTTCAATTCAATTCAATTTTATTTATATAGCACATTTTAAACAACTTCAGCTGACCAAAGTGCGTCACATACAGCTCAACAAAATAGAAGAAACAGTTACATATACATGTATACAGGTAACAGGTGAAAACTAGCTAGCTCATAGTAAATGCCAGGGAAAAGCGGTGAGTTTTCAGTCTCGTCTCACACTGCGTTACAGACTGAGAGGATCTGACAAGAAGAGGAAGGCTGTTCCACAGTCTGGGTGCTGCCACAGAAAAACCTCTGTCACCTCTCGTCTTGAGCCTGGTTTTGGGCACGACCAACAGGAGCTGGTCGGCTGATCTCAGGGCTCTGGGCGGAGGACAGGGCTGCAGTAACTCCCTCAAATAGACTGGACCCATAGAGTGCAAACATTTGAAAAGAATAACATTTAAATTGCACCTGATATGAAACAGGAGCCAGTGCAGGTCACACAGAACAGGTGTGATGTGTTCACGTTTCTTAGTATTTGTCAGAAGACGAGCTGCAGCATTCTGGACGTGTTGTAAGCGCTGCAGGAGCCCTGGTCTAACCCTACATACAAAGAATTACAATGGTCCAAGCATGATGTTACAAAAGCATGGATCGCTCTTTCGAACTCTGCCCGTGGCTTTACTTTAGTGAGGAGCCTCAACTGAAAGAAGCTGGACTTAATCACAGAGCTAATGTGCTTGTCCAGTTTGAACATGGAGTCCACAATCACCCCAAGACTCCTCACTGCAGGGAGACAACAGAAGGACAGAGGAACAATCACACTGTCCTGCCCAAGCAGTGGGTTTGTTTGCCCAAACACCACAATCTCATTTAAAAAAAAAAAAAAGATTTAGATTCAGGAAGTTTGTGCTCAGCCAGGTCTGAGACAGTCCTGCAGAGCTTTGATCGTGCTCTGGCTGACAATTGTGGTCACTGGCAGGTAAATTTGAATGTCATCTGCAAATCAGTGAAAAGTGACATTGTGCTTTCTAAAAACATCACCCAGGGGGAGCATTTACAGAGCAACGAGGACCAGTGCTAATGTAGAACCCTGAGGCACACCATACTGTAAAAGAGACACAGTGGAGGAGGACCGTCCTAAGTTTACAGAAAAACTCCTGTCTGACAGATATGACCTGAACCAACAGAGCAATGTACCCTTAATGCCTACATGTGTCTCCAGGCGAGACAGAAGGATGCTGTGATCCACCGTGTCAAAAGCAGCTGTTAAGTCTAAAAGTAAAAGAACAGCGGATTTCCCAGAGTCAACAGTTAAAAGCAGGTCATTAAAAACTTTTAAAAGAGCTGTTTCAGTGCTGTGCTGAGATTTAAAACCAGATTGGAATTTTTCACCAATTTCATTAAGATTAAGGTAAGACTGTAGTTGGTCATAAACAACCTTCTCTAAAACCTTAGATAAAAAGGGCAACTTTGAGGTAGGTCTAAAATTACGAAGAACATTTGGGTTAGGATTAGGCTTTTTGATAAGTGGTTGGACTACAGTATGTTTCAGGGCAGTGGAAAAACAGCCAGACATCAGAGACAAGTTCACAACATAAGAAATATAAGGTCCAAAAGAATCGAAAACATCCTTGAACAGACGACTTGGAATAATATCTAGAGGACAAAAGGAAGGCTTTAGCTATTGAACAATTTTTTTCAGGTCCAGAAGAGACACTGGTTCAAAACACACAAAAACTGATTTACAGCCTGTTGAAGCTACAAGGTCCACAACAGAAGGCACTGACAGTCTAAGAGCAGAGACTTTATCCCTAAAGAGTGTAGATGAGGGCACAACCACATTTGTCATACATGGATTTACCATAGACTTCAAAGTACTAAAGGTTTGTGGTTAATGCATTGAATGTTGTAACGGGTTTAATGTTTGACTATTCACGTTATGATCACTTCCAGAAGTTCCTTTGATTGTTTAATAAACCATCTTTGCTCAAAGGAGAGATGTTTTTCTTTATAAATTGACTTAAATGCATTCCCTGTATAAATGGTCATATACTTGGTCAGTATAAAAATACTTATTTAATAATGCATATCTCATCACTGTTTTTGAAACTTTAAGGTAATTTGGCCCATTTTAGATGTATCCCAGAAATATAGCCGTTTTGTTTTGCAAAAGTTAAACATAAGTTTTCGTTTTTAGCCATAAGATTTGGATGAGAATTATTACAAAAACTTGGTCTCAAAATCCGAAAGTTTGATGACCCGTGCGTAATCTGTTAGTGATCCGTGGGCGTAATCTGCGTGGTGCGTGTTGTTAGCAGCGTGTCTCGGTTGCCGGGCAACGGGGAGACTCCGCGGGCTACACCTGTCCCATTTCAACAACGGTCTTGTGGTCCGCGGTTGCTACTTCGAGGGCTGCAGCCTACCTATTTTTAGATAATAAACTTTTTCTCGCTCAAAATCCTTCAGTTGTCTTAAAAAAAAAAACGCTTTATATTCGTTCCGCTCTGCTCCGCTCCGCTCTCGTTCCTCTCGCTCTGATTGGTCAAAGCGATCACGTGATACACGAGCCCGCGCTCCGTGCGTGTGGTCGCGTGCATTCGCGTGTGCCCGTGGGAGAAAAGAGCACTACTGCGCATGCTCGGTCGGCCCACGGCCACCGAAAGTACCTAGCCGGGCTAGGCTAATCTGGGATCATGCGCCATTGAGCTCAGCCCATTGACTTGAATTGGCGGCCATTTTGGAACCTGGGGGCTTGAATGAAGCACAATAAGCACCGAAGCGTTTCACGGGTGTCTGCAGCCAGACCCCTCTCGTAACCGTGGAGCAGAGCCGTGGTACACTGGCAAAAAAAATCAACATGTCCACAGAGTGGATAACGTTTGTGGAGGAGCGTCTGGGTGCTGGTGCGGAGGACTTATTTGCGCTGCTGAAGAGCACCATAGCGGAATATGAGAAGGAGCTGCGCCGCTACAAATACGAAAACCAGCGGCTCCAGCTGCTCCTGGACTCAACTCTGAGGGCTCTGAGCCCGAGGGTCGTGCTCGTTAGAGTCGGTAAGTTTTCTGGATCGTATGGATCCTATTTTTAAACCTATGGGTGTTAAAAAGTAGCCGGTCTGGCGCCACCTAGTGCCTCCGCTCAATTTAATTTCTCTAGCGACTAGGACAGGAATCAATACACTATTTATTTATTTTTTTAATTACAGAAAAACAACAACATGACAAAACAGCAAAGGTACCCCAAAGAACCTGTATGACTCTAAATCACTTCAGATACTGACTCAAACGTATTTACAACTTCATGGACAGAAAAGACATCCCATCAGCCTTAAAGTAGAAGACTACAGACAAGTTCACAGTGTTCATGTCACAACACTGCACGTGAATGTGTGTGTATACTCTTGTCTCCTGCAGCTGTCCAGCTCCCCTCTCTGAGCCCTGGTCTGACTCCACACATTAAAGAAGAACACAACATCAAACAGGAGGAGACTGAGCAGCAAGTGTGAGTCTCAGACATTTTCAAACTGCTATTCTTTATTTTGTTGTTCATCCTTAATCATTTCTATTACAAATATTCAAACTGGGTTTGAAATATACAAATGTATCTTCTATTTTTCAGCTCTGTCCCAGAGTTTAGTGCTGTGAGCGTGAAGACAGAAGAGTCCTCACTACTTCTACAAAGACAAACTGAGCAGAGAGAGGACACACAGGAGGAGGACATCAAAGCAGAGACACAAGTCCACAAAGAGGACACACAGGGGGAGGACATCAAAACAGAGACACATGTCCACAGAGAGGACACACAGGAGGAGGACATCAGAGCAGAGACACATGTCCACACAGAGGACACACAGGAGGAGGACATCAGAGCAGACTCAGAGACTGAGGGAGACACAGAGCACTCTGCTGACACTGACAGTGTTGAAGACTGGAGAGCTCCATTCAGCTGTTCACCTGCACACATGGACACAGGGACTGATAGAAACAAGTCTACACCAGAGACCAGAGACACTGTGAACTATGGAGACATGTCAGGAACTGGCAAAGGAGCTGAGAGCAGGAAACACAAGTGCTCTGTTTGTAAAGAGAGATTTGGATCTACATATAAACTACAAAAACACAGGAGAGTTCACACAGGAGAGGAACCATTCACCTGTTCAGTCTGTAAGAAAATGTTTGCTGTAACATATCACCTCAAAAGACATATGAGGACACACACAGGAGAGAAACCATTCAGCTGTTCAGTCTGTAAGAAAGTATTTTCCCGAAAGCATCATGTTGACACACATATGAAGACACACACAGGGGAGAAACCATTCAGGTGTTCAGTCTGTAATAAAGTGTTTGCACACAGATGTCATTTCAAAACACATATGAGGACACACACAGGGGAGAAACCATTCAGCTGTTCAGTCTGCAAGAAAGTGTTTGTGCAAGGATCTAATCTCAAAGCACATATGAAGACACACAGGGGAGAAAGCTAGATCAGGGGTTGGCCACCTTAAATCCACAAAGAGCCATTTGATGCATCTCCCACAGAAAAGAAAACACCCAGAGCCACAAATCTCTCAAAGGCTATAGTGTTTTACATTTATGAAGTCAATGAGATGCTACAGAGAACATGGAATTTTATTTCTGCATGTAACAAAAAACATTTAGAACTCCAAAAAAAGACACTTGGTTGATACTTACTTTCAAATGAAGTTCTCAGTGTCTATTTAAGTTTTTAGAGGAAATAAAAATCCAAACTTAAATTATCCATCTGCAGTGAACCATAAGTGCGTCTGCTTTTGAGTTCCGTCATCATTTTATCACGTGTAAACCAGTCTCATCAGTGGTGAAATCAAATGCATCTGTCCATGTAGCATTAAACATTCTCTTTTCTTCAGAAATGTTTCTTTTCTTGGATTTATCCATCCACCTACCAGAGCTCGAAAAGCTCAATAAATCATGCTGCTGGTGTAGGTGCCTGTATCTGGGTTGCCAGATCTGTGCTGGGAGTCGCACATCGGCTGCTGTGATGCATATTTAGAGCGACAAAAATACTAAAAACATTTTATTTTAATGTTATAAGATTACCATTATCTGCAAATTTAGAATAACATTTAAAAACGAACAAACTAAAATAAAAATACATTGTAATTAGATACTCATTATTTATTTTCTAAAGTCACAGGAAGCCACAAAAGAAGGATGAAAGAGCCACAGGTGGCTCTGGAGCCGCGGGTTGCCGACCCCTGGCATAGATAAATGGACATATCTAATGCTCTAGCCGCCGTGTTCCAAATAAGAAGTTTGCATTTTGGTCTTAAAATTTTTGTATTAACCTGCCGTACATGTGTTTTTTCTGCTGTTTTATTCATTTAAAAAATCCTATTCATAAAATAGATTTATCACAGTTTGTGTTTTTATCACTTTTTGTACATTTAAGAGTTTTTATGCATAAACCTGCTGTTGTGTCAGTGGCATAAATTTGTTTCAGTGTTATTGTTTATTGTCTATATTTTTAAATAATCTTGTACTTCAAAATATATTGTACTTCAAACTGTGTAATCTGAACAAACTTTAACATGTATATTATTCTTTTTTTTTTTTTTTAATACATTATATTATCTTTGAATCTGAATTCATGTAATTTGAATTCAGTTCTCCAGTGGAATCTTCTCTACAAGTGTCAGTGTTACCAAGTGCACCCACAGACTACACTGTGGTCTTTAAAGAAAACAAAACAAAACAAAAAAACAGTTGCTAAAAGGAAACATGTCAAGTTAGATTCTAAATAATTATTGTTCACTACTGAACTTGACTGAAACACATTTGTATCATGACACGAAGCAGGACTCTAAATCACCATTAGGCCAGATTTCTATGATATGTTAGGAGTGAAAAAAAAGTCAAGGGTTTCTGGATTGTTACAAGAAACAATTTAGTGTATGATTTTGAACATTATAGTAACTGTAACAGTAATAGAAATAGTAACAGTAATAATAATAGTAACAGTAATAGAAATAATAATAGTAACAATAATAGTAACAGTAATAGTAATAGTAATAGTAATAGTAATAGTATTGCTGGGTTTCACATGACCTCCAAACTTTTTCGGTGAATATGAATGAATAGAGATGGGGGCAGTTCAGATGAATGTTGAAGAATAGTGCAGAGGGCAGACTGCAGCAGGGCAGTGTGGGAGTCTGTCTCTGTCTCTGCTGCTGTTGGAGGTGGCAGAATGATGCAGACTCAGGTGAACACAGTGAGAGGAGAGACAGACTCAGGAGGACAAGAAAAGAAATCTTCAAATCATCATCAAAAAAGGAAAAGTCTGATGGTGTAACTCTATTATAAAATATAAAATAGTCTGAGAAACTCTGTTCTTATTTTCACTGAAAAAAATGCTGTAAATCACTGAACCAAATGAACTAAAACACTTGACATAGAAAGTCCAGCTGCACAGTAGTTGTTCTGTAGTGTATCTTATGTCATGGATCTAATGTTTCATTAATATCAGTGTTATTATATTTTATTCATTAGCAGAAAAATTACATTTTTTTCACATCTTTAAATGTATTGAAATTGAATTGATATCGTGACTCGTGTATCGAGATACAGTTTTCCCACAAGTCCACACGTATCGTTGCATCCCTAGTATAAAAGACCATGTAAAATGAGATTCTAACAAATGTGGGATGAGTATTTGGATGTTTGATATTATTTTATTATTTTGTTAAACCTTAATTCAGAGTAGTAGCTGATTGTGGCAAAAATAAAAGTCACAATTATTTGGCTCATAATTGAAATCCCAACAACAACAAAAATAAAACATTCACGATAAAATCTTGATCTGTTTCTATACATTCTGTGGAAAATTGTAGGTTATTTCAATCAGAATTGCCAAAATTATTGGCCTGTGCAATGATGTTGTTTTTTTGGGACACTGTATATCTGTAAAAACTATTTGAAGACACAACAGTCAGTGGGCCTCTCAGTGCTTCTTCTGTTTGTTGTTCTGGTTACAGCTCAATGAGATAATAGCACGACTCGAGTACACTGTTCCAAAGTAACAAAGCTCTAACATATTTATAATAACACCAGTATGAGCATATCATTTGTTGCCAATCCTCATGAAGTAGTTTGTCTTTGAAATGCCACTCAGAAAGAATCTACGTGTAGCGGCTTCCTAAACCAACGTCATAGCCTCTCAGGAAGATCAGAGTGGGTCCTGGGGTCGTAGCTTTGTGACTTGGAGGCTTTTTTGCACAGATCCACGGCTCAGATCCACAATGTGTTCTGGACATTTATTAACAGACAAACAGCGATCACAGCAATGAAGATGATGGATGGGACCAGCTCGAAGAAATAAAGGTATGGAGGAATATGGCGGAAAGAGTATGGAGGAATAGTGACAAAAATGACTGCTACCGGCCCTGACCCTCAACCAAACTGAGGCACAGGTAAGTGCGCCCTGCCTCCTCTGCACCGGAGTAACACACACACACCCTCAAGCGCACACACAGTGCACAGTCCTGTCTCCTACACTACCACTGTGAACAAAAGTGACTTTGAAAGGTCCTATAGTACATCCACCCCCCTCTGCTGACTGTTTTCTATTGAATGTTTTAACAGGTTTACCCACAAATCATTCTGTTACAGATGCATGTTTACAACCTCATCAAGAAAGCAGACACCTTTTTAAATTATTATTATTCCCTTACCAAGCGCTTAACTGCCTGCAGCCAATGTCAAATACAGAAAACAGACTCCTGTGACCTGAATAAACTGTGTTACTATCGAGGACAGAGACAGACTTGTAAACTGGCTCAGGATCAGTAAAGTATATCGTGATCAACACAAGTGTACAAGTGACTCTGTCTGTGGTTGATGTTAAACAATGATCAAATTCTAAAACAATAAAAACACGTGGAGTCTTGAATCATGTTAAAAGTAGTGTTTATCTCTCTGTTTGTGTTTACAGAAAGAATTCCACTTGTAATCATGTTGAAAAGAGAAGAACAATGAAAAACGCTTACAGCACCTGGTATTCCCAGGCGGTCTCCCATCCAAGTACTAACCAGGCCCGACCCTGCTTAGCTTCCGAGATCAGACGAGATCGGGCGTGTTCAGGGTGGTATGGCCGTAAGCGACAGACACACTGCAGGGTATTGTATTTATATCTACTTTATGGCACTTGCTTACATTTTACATTATTTTTACTGAGATCATGAAATGTATATTCTAAAGTAGGGTGACCAGATTTTCAGAATCAAAAAACTGGGACATGTTTAGGTTGGTTGGTAGTAATAAAATTGTGAAACGAGTGCGTCAGGAAAATCGCACTCGGCTTTAACATCAGAGTATAGTCACATTGTCCTTGTGTTTTGGTCATTTTTAAGCAGCTTTTCTGTATTTTACCTAAACAAATGACAATTTATTCCTCTCTTTACTGTCGGCAGGTATTAGATTGGTCAAAAATAGGGACCCCTGGGACATATAACTTGTAGAAATCACTGGTTTTGTATAAATCTGCTGGATTTGCACAGACTCAAAACTGGGACTGTCCCGGGTAAACAGGGACGTCTGGTCTATCTATTCTAAAGTATAAGTATCTAAAGTATCTAAAACAAAATAAATAAATAAATACTGCTTAAAGGATTAGTGAATGTTTGAGAGAGATTTCTAGTTTTGCACTTTCTCACTGTGAGTCACAATTAAGCCCTTTACATCCTCTCTATTTGATCCTGGTTATGGAACATATTTAAAGCTAAATAGAGCTAAATCTAGACATAAAAACAGTGTCCATGTCTGAGTCTACGGCTTACGGCCATACCACCCTGAACACGCCCGATCTCGTCTGATCTCGGAAGCTAAGCAGGGTCGGGCCTGGTTAGTACTTGGATGGGAGACCGCCTGGGAATACCAGGTGCTGTAAGCTTTTACTTTTCTTCTCTTGTTCCGAATTTCATTTATAAGCATAACATTTTTAGAAACACGAGAGAATCGAAACACTTTGGCCTTTACGTGACTGTACGCGTCTTAGTTTTACTGTTACTGTGATTTACTACTACACTACCCCAAATTGACCAGTAGAGGGCGCTGTCCTGATACTTTTCGACATAGAAAAGTCCCTGAGGCGCAGCTCTTGGTTCATGAGTTCTGGGCCTGGTCAAGCAGAAGTAAACAGCAAGGCCAAAAATTCAAGTTAATGCATCTGATATAAAAATGTATTCAACAGATACATATGTACTCTAGTTTATGAAACTGTTGACCTTTTTTCTGTACCATTTTTGGTTCTAAAGTTCCATACGTTTTAAACAGACCATGTATGAAACATGGAACAAAAATTATTTCCCAAATTTCAAAGACCTGCAAATCATGTAAATAAATGGATGTATTTCATCATATCTTGTGTTATTCCATCTTTGAACTGTTGATGAAGGTACATGATTTTTCAAAAAAAAAAAAAAAAGTATTTAAAATGATAAAAATTAGCTTGGAAGGATTGACATATTTTATAGAAATAGTTTCCTTTCATTTTGAAGTAATATTAAAGTATTCAGAAGAAAAAAGCGACAAATTATGTAAAATCATGCACCTTCTACTTGCTTGTACAATTTTCCCTCCGTTACCATGACCTTTCTTAATAAAAAATCTCATGAGTCAAAAAGTAAGAGGTTTTTCAACCTAATCTTGTACCATATGGTAGAAAACTATATGAAGCAAATATTCAAACCAGTTTGTTAAGGATATGTGAGAACCGCTAGTTATCACTGTTTGGATTTTTTGCCCAAAAAGTGCTGCATATTTCATTCCCTCCGTTACCAACATGAGTTTTTAAATTTTTTGTCAGCAACTTGAAAGAATATCACAGGTTTAACTTGACCCTGTTGGAGTGTTAACCCTTTCCTACATTCTGATACTTTACTTATTTCAATAGTCCCTCTAGTTTCTGAATAAGAGACATTTGAATGTAAAAAATCTGCCCGTTTCCTAAACATATTTTTGGAGGAACATGGAGTAATATATACAAATATTACAGTGAAATTGCAAGAAAACAACCAAACCAGATAATTTTTGACCCACTTATGTATCTAAGGGTTAATGTGGGTAGGTCTTTGTAACTAGCACCATTTGATTCTCTGACCCTGAAAAGGTGGGAGTAGCAGTTAAAATCAACATTTCAACTTATTCAGAGACTGAGATATTTCAAAAAGAGTTTTGGTGGCCCTTTTTTTTTATTCAATATGGTTGCCATATAGATATCTGGGCAAATGCAAACATTGATTTTCTTACTCCATATACTATAACCTTTCCAAAAATATATAGTTTAGCAAATACCCAAAAAATTCCCACAAAAGTATATAAGGAACTGGACTATTTGCTTTTCTCCTTTTCTGCAGCAGCCTACGTGTGTTGTGTGTATCTCCCTCGATTAGCAAGGAAAAGCCTAGAACCATCCGATTGGTTGTTGCTAGTCACATGGATCACTCAGCAACGTGCTTTTCAAAATAAGAGTCTAAAAAAAACTTCAAAACATATTTAACCAATGAATATGTAAAATTTTTAGCTTTTAACGTAATTTTAAATAAAATTAATTATTGCAAATATTTTTAACCATATTTAATATATTTATTGATTTCTATATATTTATTGCTATTCTTATTGTCATGTTTTCTCTCTGACAGTCACTGTTAACCTGGGTTACACTAGACCAGGGGTGTCAAAGACAAATGGACAGGGGGTCGAATGAAAAAATTTGCTACAAGCCAAGGGCCGGACTGATCAAATATTCATTGAAAAAAATTTAAATGGCTGCACATAGTCTAGTGAACCTAACTGAACCTACTGAAAACCTAACAAATATATTACTATATGTTCGGATCAGATAAATAAAGCAATATTTTCTTATGGCTCTGACAGTAATTTTTAATTTTCAACAGGAACAAAAGACAAACTTCCTTTATATAAAAATCCCCAGAACATGCACATTAAATGAATGAAGCGGTATTATTCAAGGCACCATCAGTATATTTTCTCAGGGAAATGGCAAAAGTAGGCTAAATTTACTTCAAAGAAATAAATAATTCCCTCAACTAAAATATTTTTAAAACATAAGTGGATTGAAATACAATAAAATAAAGTGCAAAAATCTATGGATAAGAGAAAAACAACACTTTCTTCAAAGAAAAGTCATATGTGCTGTGAAAACAAATATTTAACTTTTTAACTTTAACTGAGTAAAAACTCTAAATATGTTATTGCACAGTAATGTTTACGTGTTTGAGACTGAGGCTGATACTTGGTGGTGTCTCATCTTTTGTACAAGTTCATCAATGTTCGGGGTCAGGCTCTGAGCTGAGGAAATCCTCAGGATTGAGTGAAGGTGTTCAGCAGTAAGTCGACTTCTGTGTGATGTTTTGTTAAGCTTCATCAAAGAAAACAGTTGTTCACACAGGTATGTGCTGCCAGACAAAGAGAGCGTTTGAGCAGCTTGGATGCGCAGCTGGGGCATTGTGTTGGGGAGGAAACGGGCAAACTCCGCAGCTCCCACTGCCGCATATTTTGCCTTCAGTGCGTCACTGCATTGGAGCTCAATCAACTCCATTTGGAGGTTTGGTGGGGAGCTTTCCACGTCAACTGCAAATGGATTACTGAGCAGTTCAAACCTGCTTTTTTGTGCTTCAAAGTCAGCAAATCGGCGTCGGAAGTCAGCGGCAAGTACACTCATTTTATCAGCAAACTGTGCGCTCGGGAACACACTGGTAGAGAGTTTTGCTTTCATGGTCTGGCAGCTAGGAAAGTGGCTCAAGTTTTCTTTCCGCATCTGTGCCTCCCACAGAGTCAGTTTGATTTTAAAAGCCTTCACTGTACTGTACATATCAGAGATGACGTGACCCCGACCCTGCAGCTGTTGGTTCATTGCATTCAGATGACTCGTGATATCACACAGAAAAGCCATTTCACACAGAAACGTTTCGTCTCAGAGTTGTGTTGTGTCTTTCCCTTTGCTTTCCAAGAACAGATAAATCTCCTCACGCAGCTCCAAACATCTTTGCAGCACCTTTCCCTGGCTTAGCCATCACACCTCAGTGTGATAGGGCAAATCACCATGCTCCGTTTCTAACTCGCTCAGAAATGCTTTAAACTGGCGGTGATTTAAACCTTTGGCTCTGATAAAGTTAAGTGCCTGAAAGTATCTGAAAGTTGACTTTTGCTGTTATGTTAATGACCGCTGATGAATAATGAAATTAAGCCTCCTCCCGCTCAGTGCGCCACCGTTGCATTGTGGGAAATGTAGTATTGGTGCATGTAAAACACCTGCGTGCTGCTGGCCTGCTGCGGCTAGCGGGCCGGTTCTAATAATAAATCAATATCATCCCGGGGGCCATAGAAAACCCTCTCAGGGGCCGGATCTGGCCCGCGGGCCTTGACTCTGACATATGGGCACTAGACTGTGGAGTAGAACGTCGGGGGCAGTGATCCTTCTTTGCAATGGGCAAGTAAATCTGGCAATAATCTGCATAAAAATGGTAAGAAGCCGATCCAAAGTGAAGAACTGTTCCTGTCCAGTTGCTTTGGGCTCGTTTGGTTTCTGTGTTTAGAGTCCTTATTTGAGTCTAAGGCTACGTTCAGACTGCAGCCTGAAGTGACCCAAATCAGATTTTTTCGCCCCTATGTGACCTGTATCTAATCTTTTAATGACAGTCTGAACGACACAGATCTGATTTTTTCAAATGCGACCCAGGTCACTTTGATGTGTGCTCCTAAAACCGGCACATATCTGATCTTTTGACATGCGACTTCAGTCTGAACGGCCAGGTCGCATTCATCCGACCTACATGTTATCAACAAGCCACAAATGTGAAAGACCTCGCAAAAACATCGGATTTCACAAAAAAATCGGAATTGAGCATTAAGCCCTGCAGTCTGAACGTAGCCAAAGTCAAATTTCAACAGTGACACTGAAGCTCCTTGAAGTCTTCTTATTTCTCTTTATCTTTTGTTCTCGTTGCTGTGTCCTCATCGTGGGTCAAGTCCAGTTTCTCTTCTGTTTTGTCTTTCTCTTTCACTAGAGTCACAGAGGAACCTTCTTTATCCAGTCCAAACCCAGGAAACAGAGGCTTAGAGAAGGACGAAGAGAAGGTCCAGATGTGGAACAGTTCATCTGAGGAGACGTCATAGAAGGACAGAGTTCCAGCCTCAGAGTCCAGGAACACACCCACTCTGCCAAAGAATGTGCCCCCTTTACCAGAGGACACACCCCCATTAATATGGGACATGCCCCCTTTACCAGAGGACACACCCCCATTAATAGGGGACTTGCCCCCATTAACAGAGTACATGCCCCCTTTACCAGAGAACACGCCCCCTCTCTCTGAGTGGCAGGAGCGGGGGAGTCGTGTTGAGCTGCGGTTGTGAGAGACACAATACTCTCCATCATCATAGATCCTCAGACTCCAGGAGTGATCATTGTCTCCAAACACACAATCCCGCTCCTCTTTGCTCCGACTGATCTCTTCGTAACTCACTCCTATATCAGCCTCCCCGCTCCAGTCCACCTCCCAGTAACAGCGCCCGCTCAGGCCAGTGCAGCTCAGGACCTGAGTCCAGTTCATGAATCTGTCCTCATGATCTGGATACTTCTGCCTCTTCTTCACAAGTGTCACAGTCCGATGGTTCTCAGACAGAAGTAGGCGTCTGTGAGCTGAGTTTGGGTCCAGAGAGACGTCACAGGAGTCTGAAACACAAATATTTCATTTTATTAAGCATGACGATATTAGACTGCTGCACTGGAACAAAGAAGCATACAGGTGCTCATCAGGCCAGAGGGCTTGAATTCTTGTTGAGTAGAAAAAGGATGGCAGAGGCACTCTGATTTGCGTCTCAGCATACAGGGATTCAAAATGTATATGTCTATGGATAGTTTGTTTTTAATAATCACGTGTTTGGGGTCGTGACGCCTATAAATAGTCCCACCTGCTGCTCACTCTATCAGCTCTGATGAAGACTAAGCAGTCGAAATGCACTGGCGTAACCATTAATAAATAAACCACAAATCACAGTGATTCTGCCATCCTCTTTCTGCGCAACAAGAATTCACCTCATTCTTTTGTTCTGATTGTGTCTCCGTTTAGTGTACCGCACCTGACACACACCTGTCATGCACCTGTCATAAAAATTATTTCACACAGTCTCTCAGCAGCAAATCTTGGACACAGATTCTTATCATGTAAATGAAATGAGTGTGGCCCTTGTTTACAGTACGGTTGCTAGGTAACAGTTATAGAATCACCTCTACATGTCACATCTGCGGCTCATGTCCCAGTGAAATGATAAACATCACCAAAACGGTCCAATGAAGGAAAACTGGGCGAGATTTGAACCATTCGAAACAGAGTGAATGATCTGAGCTGTTCTCTGCACTATACTGTGTGAAGGAAACAAAACAGACTCACACTTTCTCAGACCAGGGACCATCCAGCGCTCTCCAGCAGGATCCACCCTGAAACACACAAGTCCAGTTTAGACCAGACCAGAGACCAGATCAGAGACCAGACCAAGACCAACCATGGACTAGAATCCAGACTAGAGGCCAGACTTTTCTGTCTCTCCTCTCTGTGCACAGCGCCCCCTCCTCAATGCACTGATTAGAAGAGCAAGAGGGAACTCGAAGTAAAAACTACACCAAACTTATGTGACAGTGTCCACACAGAGCAGGCCCACAGTGACATGTGGCTGAAGTTTCTCTAATATAAGTGCAAAGATCCGTTTGTGTTTGTCACAATGTGTGTTTGGTTTTGTAAATGTGCAGAGGCTGCTAAATATCACTGAGGATCCAGTGATTTTTATTTGTTTCAATGCTGTAGAACATTCAGGTAGTCTGGTTTTGATACATAATTTTTTCTTTACAAAACAAAATAGTTTGACTCGCACTCTCCTGTTGAACTCCTGTCCGTCTCCGTGTGACTCAGAGCATGGGCCCCCCTCCCCCTGTGGCCCCTCACTCCCCCGTGTAGCTCCAAAATTTAGGAATACAGCTGATGGTTATTAGATTTATACTATATGTTTAAAAAGTAGGATTACTGAGTATTTACATAATTGGGACATACAAAAGGGGAACTTTTAACGTACAGGTAACAGGAGGTCAAAAAACTGTTTGTCTTCACTCCCCTCCCATGGTGCACCTGCACTCTCCTTAAACAAGGAGCCACAGACCACAAAATGATTCACTCTGATGTTTTTAGGACAAATGACGGTGACTGTGACTGACTACTGCACTACTACAATGTGACCAGAAGAGGGAGCTGTGTCTTCTACATTTCAAACTTCCTCAGGCGCAGCACAGTACTGGGTTCATCAGTTCTGTTTGTTGGATTTTTCTTAATAATTTAACTCCATCAGATGCAATGGAGCAAACTGTGACGATAAGGTTATAAAGTAAATAAATAAATTAATTAATTAATAAATAAAAGAAAGTAAAAGAATTCACTTGTTTGCCGACACTGCTGCAATTACTATTGAACTACTACAACTCATTTTAAACTAGGGCCCAATCTGCATAAATGGGAAAAGATATGAAATACCCTTTTAGACTTTATAAACATACAGACATGAACAGCAGCTTCTTTTATTCTCTTATTTTTTACCTGTTACTGCAATGATAATGGTGACTGGGGTGGTTATAATAACAGTAATAGATACTGCTGTTGTGGTTAGTATTGCCATCCTTTTTATCTTTCCAACATCACAGTTTTAATAATCAAAACCAGACTACTTGAATATTCTACAGCTTTGAAACAGTCAAATAAAACACATGAAACAGTTGAGTGCAGAATGAAAAGCTTACAGCACCTGGTATTCCCAGGCGGTCTCCCATCCAAGTACTAACCAGGCCTGACCCTGTTTGGCTTCCGAGATCAGACGAGATCGGGCGTGTTCAGGGTGGTATGGCTTAAGGAGCAGACACTCACAGTTGCAGAGGAGATGTTGTCAGAGTGGGTGTGCAGGTATACTTCTGTGTCATGCATGTTGTTATAAATCTAATGCCGTTTATTGCACTTTTGCCCTGTTGGTTGACATGGTGTTTGAAAAGTTCCTTGTGACTGATTATACAGGCTGCATTTTCTTTATGACTTTGGATAAATGCTATGCAGTTAACTATTCTACCTTCCTTCCAGGATGCCTCCATGCACTGAACACTTATAGAGTTTTTAATAAGTGAGCCATTATGGACATTGCATTTCACTTTGACTGATCCTCTGTTAAAAAAAAAGTTGTACTGTAAATTGGGTGAGGATTAGGACCATTAGAGGGGAGTGTTTGCCTGATAATGTCTCTTTTGTACTGCTTTGTATCAAATGTTGTGCTGGAGTGATATTAAGAGTTCTTCTAGAGTGGGGGTACTGTTACCTGCCTATCTGATTCCTTTAAGAGCTCGAGGCTCTTCTGTCTGTGGCCACCCACAGCACGGATACTGTTTATACTGCTCACCGTTCTGGAGACAACATTATAACAGATCAGAAAATATTGTGCTATGGGCCCTGTAAATCCCTAAAATGGTTATTTTTTACCAACAGCTAAACTGTGTGTAACATAAAGGAGAATTTTATTAATGTAAGAGTATTGCTTTATTTCAAAATAACATTATGCAAGTTGAAGAAAAGAGTAGCTGATGTATAGGCTATAAATCACATGATCGAAACACTGTTGATTCTGCACTTCAAAATATGTGAAAAAAAAAAAAAAAAAAAACCAAAAACATAACATAATCATTTGTTTAGCATTTTTTGCAGAAGAGTTATTTCTGTTGTATTTAGCCCCTGTAGTTATAATTATTATAGCTTCTGTAATTAATGTGCATCCTGCGCCATTAGAACTGCGTAGATTAAAATGACAATGACAACAATGAGACTTGTAATGACAGTGGCAGCGATGTTCAGATCTCGAGCTGTGGATCCGTGACTGCGAGCGGCTTCGATGTCCCCCACCACCTTCCTGTCCCGCGCCTAGAGAGAGGAACACCAAAGATCAACAGTCAGGAGGCAAAGTTAATGTGAATATAAATGAAAAAGAAACAGTGCATTTTTATCACATGCATGGGTAAAAACATGTTCAGTCTAAGAGTCATTCAAATCAAACTTGAATGAAAAAGTAATGTTATTTAAAACCACACTATACACTTTTTTGCTGAAAAACAGACTAAAACTAGAAAAGCACTCAGAGAGCGCAGACCTCCGCCAAGGACTACCCCCATTTTTTATATAAATTGAGATAAAATCAGTCTTCTGGATCAGATCCGGATCAGTCTTTGGAATATGAAAGAGGATCCCATTGTCCATCCCTGAGTCAAATTTCATGGGGTTTGGTCAATAATTAACCGAGATATTGAGAAACAAAATTTTTGGCCCCATTTACCACAATGTTAACTAAAATTTCAAAGTGATCCAGAATCCAGGATTTCTTCTGGATCACCCCCAAAATGAAATCAGTTCTTCCTTTTCACATTTCCAACAAATCCTGAAAATTTCATCAAAATCGGTCCATAACTTTTTGAGTTATGTTGCTAACAGACAAACAAACAAACAAACAAACAAACAAACAAACAAACGCCGGCAAAAACATAACCTCCTTGGCGGAGGTAATAAAAGCATGTTTTTGCTTATTACAATGAAAAATGTATAAAAACATGAGGCTTTACACTGGGCAGCCCCACATCTCCAGACCTGACTTTATCCATGGCCTCCATGTGCTTGTTTCCATGGAAATGTTGTTTGGCATTAAAACACATCTATCTCAAATAGAGAATGTTCCGAAGTATAGTTTTAAGTTTGTTTCCATAGAATCATACAGGTGATGTGACACCTCCAGAATGTTACAAACTGGAGCTTTGAAGTATTTTAAATGCACCTTTTGTCATATATTATATAATAATGTTTTTTTTTTTTTTGTATTTCTACTAATTTCAGTACATAAACTGCCATAAACAAATAAAGATATGATATGCATGATTTTACACTGGTAATTGACAAATTATTATTTAAATACTGCACTGTAAAAAGAAAAGTCAAATATCAAGTGCAAATTAAAGTAGGCATACATCAACATTAGTTCATGTATGAATCATCATAGGTTTACTGATATGGAGCTCAAGAGTACAGCATCTTTTTGTGTATGGGTCATGGCCCCGATAAGTGAAAGAAAACTGATAGATGGGTCATATATTCAGAGTTAGATAATGTTTACATCTTCATTCATGTCATCAATACTTGGTACTTAAATGTGAGCAGTACTTACCTTGACAGAGTAGATGAGGGCAGCCAGCCCCAGGCAGAGGGGGTTGCAGCAGATGAAAGACCAAAGAGACCAGACAAAGTGGTCCCGGGGCATGTCCCTGGACATGGCCTGGTTCACATTCACTGCTGTGTATTGGACCGAAGTGTGTGCAACATTAGGGTGGACTTGTCCCCCCTGTAATTGGAAATGCTCAGGTGGGACGTGGGACATTTTGTAGCAGTAGTAATAGCAGTTGTAGTAGCAGATGTATCTTCTCCCTCGGCTCAGGTCTGAGAGAAAGTACACCACCTGTTCAAAGCATTTAATAGACCCGAAACATATTTGGTCTGCGTGTTCTCAGAAAGGGCTGAGTCTTTGTGGTGATCCTTGCATTGACATCACACTGGGGGTGTTCTAAATCCCCTCGTCATTTGGGTCTTAAAATGTTCGTATTAACCTGATCTACACGATCCTGAATTTCGCATTTCGCTATTTTGCCCCTAAATCAAGATATGAACATAAATGATGGACCAATCAGACGCCTTCATTCCCCAAGGTTGCTCCCACTAGCATTAGCAACAAAACTCAGTAGCTGTCAATCAAACCTGCTGCTAAGTCAGCCCCCTTCCTGTTTTCTGGTGAGAAAGGCGGGCACATTTAATGACTTCAGTCATGATTGGCTCTTGTGGTTGCTATGATACTTGTAGTCAGATTTTCAAATATAGAGTCTAGCTCCAAATTTGCTCCTGTAACTATGGCTTTGTGAGCTTCTTTGAGTGGAGCTGAACGCTGTGACGTCCAGGACGACTACACCAGGACTACACCAGGACTAATCTTGGACTTGAGACAGAGAGATGGAGAACCCGAGTCCGTGGACAATGGGCCAGTCCTGGTTTAGTACTGGTTCAGTCCTGGTTCAGTCTGTATGCGGCATAAACCCGACATCTCGATCGATGTTTCTTCTGTTCAATAAATAATGCCTGTGAAGTGATGACATATTTTCATATTTGTACTGAAGAAAGTGTAATGGTAAATTTTCATTTCGTGATTTCTTGATGTTGTAATTTTTCAATTCATATTCTGATGAAGAAAATACACACAATACTTTTTTATTTACGACTGAACTCATCGAGAGTTTACAACTTTTTTTTTTTATGCTCAACTACAGCCAAATATGCATAGATTTCTATCCAATGCACATGAACATTTCTGAAAGCTTTCTTACTCGATAGCCTGATCCCATGCTGTCATTCGCAAACACCACTTTGCAGATCACACACTGTGATGCAGATCACAAGCACGCACAATTACCAATATCAATACTGCTGCAGATGTGCACAGATGTGACACTGTTTGTCGTGCCTCCCCAGTGGCTCTTTGGTGCCCCCCCGGGGAGGCGGGCCTCACCTACTGAAATCCACTGTTCTACATGCATGTCTATGGTGTAATGTTTATCAGTTACCATTGTGACACAATGTACACATTATCAATCACTGTCAAAAAAAGTAAGTTCTGAAAACAAGAAAAACAAAACAGATTTAAAAACACATTTTCAGGAGCCAGTGATCAATATGAATGTTCATGGTCCTGCTTAAGAGTTTGGTTTTCAACAAAAATGTAACTGTAAAGTATCAATATGAATCTTTTATAGTAAGCAATACATTATGAAATGCACTGTAAACATGAAAAGATTAGCCATCGATTTGGACACAAATGTAATGCACAGAAAGGTGTATAAATTTAACTTTTTATCCATTATGATTAAACACAATTAATCACATTGCACAGTTTAATGTTGAAATTTAAACTTTCTAATTTGAAGCATTTGTTATTTTTAAAAAACAAAAATGTCCCGCTCCGTGCTCGTCCACGTGGGGACTGATGCACTTTATGTATAAACGTAACTGTGTGTAACCAGAGCAGCTCCCAAGCACAGTGTTTCTCCTATCCGGTAAAACAGCAACGCGCGTGCCCGTACGCGCGTGCCCGTACGCGCGTGCCCGTACGCGCGTGCCCGTACGCGCGTGCCCGTACGCGCGTGCCCGTACGCGCGTGCCCGTACGCGCGTGCCCGTACGCGCGTGCCCGTACGCGCGTGCCCGTACGCGCGTGCACCTGTCACTACAGCAACCATAGACATTTTTATGCAGCAGCATCCATTTCATAAAAATGCAAGAGAAACAGAGCATAGGCCTTTAATTAGAAATGATTTGATAGAGGCACTAAATACACATGTCAATATCAGTATAAAACATAGGATTTTTACTTTTATAGCAAAATGTCACACAAATATTATTATTATTAATATTGCAATGAAAGTTTGTAACCACAATGTTGTTTTTGAAATTTGTTTTCGATGTTATTTTATTTTTTTAAATCACCAGTATTGAAGTTACTTATTTTGGTGAATTGAAAGTAATGATGATTGAATATATTAATCCTAGAAAAAAAAAGATGAAAAAGATGAATCAAGGCATACATTGTACAAGTTATAGTCTGATGGTATTAGATTATGACCAGCACCTCCAGTATGACTTAATAACTGGAACCCGGCTGGGTCTAAAGCAGGTCTCATTTGAAAAGGTGCTCTATAGTTTTCTGACAGGGAAACTCACAACTAGATTATCTCCATGGAGATGTAATTGTTTTGCTTGGGTAGTCCACAATATGGCATAAAAGTCCCTCACCTGCTGGTCTTCATGGAGATGTTTAAGTTCATATTGTGGGACATTTCAGTCACAGAAATAACATCTCCACAGAGACAGGCGGGTAGCAGACCCTCCTCCTGAAAATTTACATAGTGCACCCCTCACTTTTTTTTGCTTTGGTCATTTGAGTAAAACATGTTTCAGTCAGGACAGGTCAGTCATCTTCAAACATTACTTTAAACTAAAGTAACAGGGCATTTTCATTTACCAAAACTAGTACACCAAAATCTGAAAATACATTGTTTATTATAAGTTGGAGAATCTATCGTGGCTGTCGACCAAACTGACAGAGCAGCATGAGCAGACCGGGAAAACACCACAAGAGCTTGGGTCATTTTCCCTGACAAAATATCTAGCATCTAAAATATCAGACCCATTAACTAAAGGACCATTTTCTATAGAAATAATCTTTGTCAGTGGTCTTAGCATAATGCCATATAATCAGTAGATATTAAATACTTTGTTGGAGTAGTTACTTGACAGTCTTAAAAGTTCAATGATGCAGTGTGAGTTTTGTCTAGCAGTAGAGGGTAGAAGTACTTGTTGCCATCATGTTAAGTGCAGTTTGTGGTCAATGCAGAAGTCTTCACATCTTTGAGGAGGCAGCGATGGCTCCAGGGCGACTGTACACATGAACATTGTTGCTCTGAAAAAATAAATCAATTAATCAGTAAAAAAAAAGAACAATAATGGAGCATACATGTGCTGTGATTTTTCTACACATTTGTGATTCTTTTTATAGAGCTTTCACATCTGGAAATACGTTTTGGCTTCACAAATGTCCTCAGTTTTTGAATGTTGCTTTAATATAACTGTGTTTAGTCTTAAGTACAAATGTTAGACAGGCTATGTGCGCTCCTGTATACAGCAGGGTTTAGAGAAAAGTTGTTCACCGGCTACTAGTTCAGAAATATATGCAACGTTATACGATTTAGTTGTAGGGAATTAAACTTCACACCACAAATGTATGGTTGAGTGACAGTAACTTAAACCACTGTATTTCAAAGAACCCCCACCCCCCCCTTACCACACTGTAGGTCACAACCACGAGTTTCAGAATGCTGTTACCTCGTTGTTTTGTTTTCACACGGTTGAGTAACCCTTTATTATAATCTGTCTACATCCCCAAAGCTCAAAAAGCTCTGTTCCACCTTATGATGTCATGTAGTGGTGGTTTTCAAGTTAATTCCTACCTTTTACCTTTTGTTCAGTAGAGATAGGTAATTGCAGGGATGAAATATAACCATTTTAGAGAAAGTTGTACTTTAAAAACACAATGGAGCATTTCCTGTATAACCACATGACATCACAAGGTGGAACAGAGTGCTTTCTGTTTTCCAAGAAGAATAGACAAAAATATGCAGGGTTTGTGTGTTAAACATGTGTGACTGAAACAGAACACAGCTCCACGTATGTTTCTGATGAGGATACAACATTATAACATACAGTCGGGAATAAGTATTTGATCCTTGCTGATTTTGTAGGTTTGCCCAGTGACAAAAAATTGAACAGACTAATTTTAATGGTAGGTTTATTTTAACATTGAGAGATAGAATATCAAAAAAGAAAATCCAGAAAATAACTTTAAAGAAAATATATACTGGTAAACTGATTTGCATTTCATTGTGTGAAATAAGTATTTGAACCCTTGTTTGCAGCACAGGAGTCAGATGTTTCTTGTAGTTGATGACCAAGTTTGCGCACGTAGCAGAAAGAATTTTGCGTCACTCTTCTTTACAGATCATCTCTAAATTATGAAGATTTAGTGGCTGTCAATTAGCTTTTCTATAGAGTTAAGGTCTGGAGACTGGCTGGGCCCTCCATGACTTTAATGTTGTTCTTCGTCTTGAGCCACTCCTTTGTTGCCTTGGCTGTATGTTTTGGGTCACTGTTGTGTTGGAAGACCAATCCATGACCCATTCTCAGTTTCCTGGCAGGGGGAAGGAGGCTGTCACACTTGATTTTAACAGTACATGTTTCCATCCATCATCCTGTTGATGCGGTGAAGTAGTTCTGTGCCCTCGGCAGAAAAACACCCCCAAAAGCAGAATGTTTATACCTCCATGCTTGACGGTGTGTCAAGGCAGCATTTCTCTTCCTCCAAACACGGTGAGTTGAGTTAATGCCAAAGGGCTCGATTTTGATCTCATCTGACCACAGCACCTTCTCCCAGTCCCTCTCTAAATCCTTCAGGTGCTCATGGGCAAACTTCAGGCAGTTGCACATGTGCCTTCTTAAGCAGGGAGACCTTTGAGCACTACAGGATTTTAATCCATTGTGGTAGAAAGTGTTCCCATTAGCTTTGTGCCTTAAGATCATTGTCTAGTTCCTCCCATGTAGTTCTAGGCTGATTTCTCACTCTTCTCATGATCATTGAAACCCCACAAGGTGAGATCTTGTGTGGAGCCTCAGACCAAGATCGACTGATTCTTAAATATTTGAACAATTGCACCAACAGTTGTCTCCTTAACACCAGCTTCTTACTTATGTTTTTCTAGCCCATTCCAGCCTTGTGCAGGTCTACAAGTCTTGTCCTTGACGTCTTTTGACAGCTCTTTGGTCTTTCCCATGTTGGACAGTTTGGAGTCTGATTGATTGACTGAATCTGTGGACAAGATGTCTTTTATACAGATGACTGATCTGTGTCTAATTCAGGCAAGTTGATTAGCAGTGTCTAACTGGTCTGTGGGAGCCAGAACTCTTAATGGTTGGAGGGGATCAAATACTTATCTCACATAATGAAATGTAAATCAATTAATATATTTTCTATAATGTGATTTTCTTTTTGATATTCTATCACTCAATGTTAAAATAAACCTACCATTAAAATACCATTAGAATTATAGACTGTTCATGTCTTTGTCATCCTTGCTGATTTTGTAGGTTTGCCCACTGTCAAATACTTATTTACTACTTATACTCCACTGTAGCTCAGAAAGTAGCTTCAAGTAGTCCCTTTAACTCTCTTCAGTCTTCATTACAAAAGCATACCTTTTTGGGCTCCTGGTTGAACTTGTTGAGGTATGACTGGACTCTATTGGCATAGTCGGGATGGACAGCCTTGAGGTTCTCCACCTAAATTAAAAAGTGAAGAATGTTAAATATGCTATACACACTCCAAATTACAGCATCCAAGATGATTTTGTATTTGTAAAAAAAAGCCAGGTGTTTTGTAGATTAGGATCAAAAGAGATTTTGAAACATAAGATTTTGAAATATAAGACTTCTGAAAATAAAATTATACATTTTTGTGCACTGGCTGAAGAATTCTGCAAAAATGTCATTTTTATTGACAAATATTACAATAATCTGATATAAGAAATATTTGCATTTCAGAGCATTTTTAGGTAGAGGTTTAAATTACTTTTGCCAATTGTGAGGGTATAAATTGTGGTTCTGACTTGATTTTGAGCTGCAGAGGAAGCCTGCATAAAGCACCTGTTGCTTCCTGTGGTTTAGTCTATGACATCAAAACCATCTAGTTTTTTTGTTTGTTTTAGGAGCCCCTGACACCACACGGACATCACACGGTTCAAAACCAAGGTGATATTTTTGACAGTAATGGAGTTTCGTTCTAGTGGTTTGAATATTTGCACACCCTTAGTCTATAGTTTGTTTATAATTTAAATTTCTTATAATGATGTTTTTTCCTTTGTTCCATGTTACAACAATACAACAGCCTGTACTTCATAACTCACATGATCTTTAGTCACACAATTTAATAGCCAAATTTAGATTATGCGACCCAATCCAAATCTCCCTTGGGATGTCAAACGAAGCTCACATGCTTCTGAAAAGTGCTCACGTACCATTCGTTTCTGGATGAAAATTTGTGCTCCTTTTAATGCTCCTGCCATGTTCTGACAAAGCCTCTGTCGCTCCTCTTCATTCAGCACTTGAGTGTAGAAAATACGGACCTGCAAAGACATAATCTTTAAATGATACGTTTCACTATAACTTCATTACTTCCACTATCCAACCCTATCCTTCATGCACTCTATTTAACTTGGATAGTTTCCTGTTTATCTTCACAACCTTTTCATTCATAATTGATCTTGTTGTCTTCATCAAGTCTACAAGGCCATGCTTGGACTGCTGCCTCTCTACATTTGGACTTGAATCAAAGAGAAGTGTTGAAAAGTTGCTGTTGCTTTCTGATCCCTGTCCCTGCACAGAGCCAGGGAAGAAAGCCTTTGTCCTTTCTCTTCCCTGATGTCCGCACAGAGCACAGAGCACAGAGCACAGAGCACAGAGCACAGAGCACAGAGCACAGAGCACAGAGCACAGAGCACAGAGCACAGAGCACAGAGCACAGAGCTGTCCACTCGGCTCCTCTTGCTTGGAATATGCTGCAGAAGGACTGGAAACTGACTGAGCTCTTGTCCTTAAATGCTTATAAATCTAAGGTGAAAGCATCAGAGACTGCCTTAGTACTGTGCACTTATTTTTCCTCATTTGTCCTTCTATTGTGTTTGTATGTATACTAAAGAGTCAAATAGAAAAAAAGTAAAGTTATAACTTAGGCTTTTGTTTTATTTTCCTAAAATGTTAAAACTAGTTTTTTCTTTTTAGTTGTTTTTATTTCACTGAAAAAATGTGTCCTTACTGTGAGCATCTTGCATCTCCACAAACTTCTCCAGTTTATGTAAATATACTCCCACTGAGTGTGACTTCCTCTTCAACAGTCCTCTCTCTGTCACTTTCATCTCCAAGTCAATACATATATATTTTTATGTACACACATGTAAATGAGACTAATACAATAAGGACAATAATAATAATACTGAACTAGATGATAAATAATGGAGGTACTTTCCCACCAGGACTTCAGATTAGACTGAGATCATTTAGATTTCCAAATGACCTGTGTGACGTTGTCCTCGTCGGCACTGTTGTATCGAGCCACATCTGCAGAAACCTGGAACTTGGACTCCATAAACTGAGGCTGGGACTCTGGAGCACTGAAGCTGTTGGGATAGTAGTTTGGAGCACCACCTGCAGGACAAAAGCAAAAACAAGTGAGAAGAGAAATTATATTAACAGGGGATACATTATTTAGAATTATGGGATGAAGAAATAGAAAAACATCTTCATGTATCTTGTGCAATTTTGATTTTGTTCAAGACTGATTTAAAGTATTAAGTGTAAGTGTGAAAGTTCAGATTTAGTCACATGAGCCAGGAATGTCAGCCTTATCCTTACATGGAAGCTTCCCTCCGATAGAAGAGCAAATGTTTAGATTAAGTGACAGGTATATCCTCCCTGCCCAGCATGTGTTGTGTACAGTTTTGTATGATGATTTTACACATTTCTGGAGAATTGTTTTGTGGGAGCATGAGTGGCGTAGGCTTGTGGGCGGAGCATTGCACAGAATCTTACAGCTAAACGTAAAGAGGGTTGGAATACAACCTGGGAGAGATCACTAAATTACTGAAACATGCACGGATGACATCTCAAATCTCTTCAAGCATGTTTTTGACAAGGGAACAACATAAAAAAGCTCTCGATTTTGAAGAATATCCCCATTTATATACGTGGGTATGGAGTGTTTTCATATCAATCACAATGTCCCAAAACCACTGACTATTCATTTTCTTCAGTTCATTTGCCTCCTTCACACCTTGACTCCTTAGTTGTGAACATAAGACTAAGAGGCGTCTAACCCAGGTTCATTCATACTGATGGAGAAGAGATTCATCTTTGTGTTTTTGTTTCATGTGGATAGGCCCAGTAATGAGAGATAAGACCAGAAACCAGGTCAACAAATCTGCATTGTGACAGTTAAACAGCAAATGGAAGCAATTAATTCTGACCCATCCTCCAGCTCACAGGGATTCTAGAAAGTTGAGATGTCATATGAATGAACACATCCCATCGGCTGTCTTTTCTCTAGGAGTGATTGGCAGCTGCTTTGGCGTGTGAGGATGCAGAAGGTGTGGTCTGTAGCTGTGACTTGCCCTGGTTGTCAAACATGCACATGGGGCCGTCCCGTTGGTAGTTGGCGACTCTGGTTCTGTAGGGACAGTTGACTGGGAGCTGCAGGTAGTTCGCTCCAAGTCTGTGGCGATGTGTGTCCGGATATGAGAAGAGACGGCCCTGTACACAATGATTTACAGTTTACTTTAACCCCAAAAAAAACATATACATACTGTGTTAGAATGTAGTCCTGAAGTTAAAAGGAACTGTATGTGGTCTGTGCTCTTACCCTTTTTAAAAGTATTATAATGAGGTTGTGCCTTAATCTGCAGATAGAGGACACACCCAAGTTTGTCTCATTCTCAGTATATGGACAGAATATTGCAACAGCAGAGGCACTGATGCATGTTTGGCTCCAGGTGCTGGGGTTTAGTTAGTGGCCATTCACATCAGAGAGCCATTTTACGGTGCATCTGAAATGGATTAAACGCACTTAGGACATTCCTTTCCTTATCAGTGATCCAGACCATCCGAATTGATCAGTGAAGTTATGAAAGAGCAAGGAAAGGAGACATTATGTTTCCTTTCATAGCTCGTTGTCCATAGGAAGCTCAAGAGGTTCCTAACCAGCGGTAAGGAACTATGAGGTATCCCACAATCCACTGCTCAGATCAAACTGAGCATTTCCAAATACAAGTTCTACACTGGAGATCATTACTGTATTTTTTGGACTATAAGTCGCACTTTTTTCATGGTTTGGGTGGTCCTGTGATTTATAATCCAGAGCGATTTATATATTAAAATGTTCACCCTGACATGAAGTCATTGGATAGATGGACAAAGCCTGCACTTCAGTGACACTGAAACCATCCTGTCGGGATTCAGAAAGGCCAGAATAATTCTAACTGGAACTGATGCGGACTCTGATGACAGCTACACAGAAGAGGAAGCAGCGCTCCGTTTACCTCCAGAGGTCGCCGAGATACTAAGAAGTGACACCGAGTGATGGAGAATTCAATGGAATTAGTGTTTATGCTATAGTTATCTGAATAACTGTTCATCTGTGATGTTAACAGCCTGTTGTTCTCTGTTCTATTGTTATTAAAAGAACTTTCCTTTCAAGATGAAATGTCAGTTCCTGGTCTATGATTTTATAAAATAAATTTCCCCCAAAAATGTGACTGTTTTTTTCTTCTTCATTATGTATTTTTTGGCTGGTGCGACTTATACTCTGGAGCAACTTGTGGTCTGAAAAATATGGTAATTAAAATCTTCTACACACATAAAAACACATTTACATTATATACAGCATGACTACTATAGAGCCACATCAGCCTGTTTTGATAATATAATGTGTTTAATACAGAAACTAAACTTAAAACCACATGGCTCATTTGCATTCTGATTTCTGATTGGATACTTGAAAGAACCAAAACACCAGATAATAACAAACAACATGTCCAATGTTTATGTAATGTAATCTAATGTAAATCTTATATTCATTTCCCTGAAGTTAACAGATGGATGATATGTTTGGTTTCTCACCTGCAGCATCTTGTCGGGGCTGGGCTCGATTCCTGGGGGCATGTTACTGGGGTCGTAGGCCATCTGCTCCACCTCCGCAAAGTAATTCACCGGGTTTCTGTTCAGCACCATCTTCCCCACTGGGATCAGAGGGTACTCCTTATGAGGCCACACCTGAAAATAGGAAATGAGTCATGTATATTTATATGAAATTAACTTTAACCTTAAAGGTGTACTATGTAACTATCTGGTAGGGGGTTCGTCACCTGCTTGTTTCTTTGGAGATGTCGTTGCTCTGCTTTGACTGTTCCACAGTGTGATATTAAGATGTAAAGTACTGGTATATCTGTTTATTCAATTACAGGTGGTTTTATAGCTCAAAAACACCTAGAAAAGCAGGCATTCTGACTGTCAGCGGGGTCGCCTCTCCACAGATCTGATCTGTAACTTGGTCTGGTTTGGTCTAGTCATTGACAGGAAATTGTTTTAATATTTTATGTGAAACATTCCAGACAAGCAATAAAATCTCCATAGAGAAAAAGCATTTGACGGACCCTCCACCAGAAAAATTACACAATGCACCTTTAACACAGTGTGCTTTTAAAAGGCATTATAAATAGAAAAAAAACAGAAAAATCAATCACTTACTAGATTTAACCAGAAAAATTTTGAAAGAACAACTTTTCTTCTGTCTTCTACATTTTAGATCAGAAAACAAATTCAGATATAATGGTTTTAGCTACTGTATAATGATGCACCAATTTTCTCAACATTTTACATAACAGATGCATTTCAAAGATATTTTATTTTAACTGAAGCTATATTTATATGAAGTAATATAATAAAACATTGCCACTTCGAATAAGTCTGTGGGGCATACTGTATAGTGGTTAGTTATGCTGTGCTTGTCAAGATTGTTTAAAAAGCAATTTTCTTATGCCTAACTTTGGGATTTCATCCTTTTTCATTTTAAGTACCATATTTTTCAGACTATATGTTGCACTTTTTTCATGGTTTGGGTGTTTCCTACGACTTATACTCAGGTGCAACTTACATATTCAAATTTTCACACTGATAGCGGCGAGAGGCTCTAGTCTCCTGTGTCAGTATCTGCTGCTCCCGTTACTCCTGTACCACTGTCACTTGGCTCTACGAAGTACGGTAATTGTATTTAATTTCAAGCAGAACTTACCTTGGTGAGATCGAAGGGGTTGAACTGGAACTTCTCGGCCTGCTCAAAGGTCATGACCTGGATGTAGAAAGTCCAAGAGGGGAAGTTGCCGTTGGCGATGGCGTTGTACAGGTCTCCGATGGCGTAGTCCGGGTCTGAGGCGGCCAAGCGTTCAGCCTCCTCCACTGACAGATTCTTAATGCCCTGGTCAGTCTGAAGACAAAACAAAAAAAGTCAAAAATGTAATTGTACTTTCTTTAATCACAATGTATTACAAGTCACTCATTATTATGATAAAATAATGTTGAGTAGTAAGCGATTATGCAGTACTCCACGTGCCATTACTCTGTTACAATGTGTCACTTATGTCCATCCACTGTCCATCCTGTAACAGCCGATATTCTACACGGTTCTGCTTTTTCTGCCATTATTGTATTTTCACAAACGTTCAAGGTTTAAATACAAGTAAATTTATTATACTATATATATATAAAATTATACAGTGCCCACCTGTGGTTCTTTTGTGTAACAGCATGCCATTTTCTCCTATTCATCTGACTGTATAGTTTGTTTTTTCTAATGTATATACATTACCGGTCAAAACCTTTAGAACACCACACTTTTTCTAGTTTTTTACTTTTGACCAAAACATATTCTAAACTTTTGATTCATCAAAGTGTCCACCTTTGGCAGATATAACAGCTGAACACACTTGTGGCTCGTTCTTTTTACAATAGAAATCAAATATTGTTCGGAAATTTCTTCCCAAGTCTGTTGCAGAAGTTTCCATAAATGTGTGGCACTTGTAGGTTTCTTCACTCTTCTGTCCAGTTCGTCCCAAACCAGCTCGATGAGGTTTAAGTCTGGACACTGTGCTGGACACTCCATGTTTTCAAGCTTCACCATCTTGTTCTTTTTTCCTGAGGTAGTTCTGGCAGAGCTTGGACTTGTGTTTTGTTCTTGTATCTTTTTTTTAAACTCTGTCTGTTCAGTTCTTACCTTTGTACCATTTCAAGCTCTTCACTGGACTTGCACGACTTGAACTGCAATAAATAACTGGAAAAATCAGAGTGTTCTAAAACTTTTGACCGTTAGTGTATTTTTGTCTCTCTTTTCAGATAAACACATACACACACGCAACTACACTCATGTAATAAACAACAGTGCAACATTTCAAGCAAAATAAGATCTTGATTTAACCAAGCAGGTGGCCAGCCCTCCATCAGTAACACAGTACACTTTCAAATTTGATAAAAAAAAAATGTAACTTTACTTGCTTATAATTAATTTTTTAATGAATTTGTTAAAAAAAATGCTTTGAGAAATGTCTAAAGGAATAACTGGGTTATTGAGTAGAAAACAGTGAAAAAAAGTGTGAAATTGGAGATAGTCCAGAATGGGACCAACCTTGAAGTGGAATTTGCAGTAGACTCTCTCCCCCTGAGCGTTCACCAGTTTAAATGTGTGAGAGCCATATCCGTTCATGTGACGGTGTCCATCAGGAATCCCACGATCGCTGAACAGAAAGGTCACCTGCCCAGAGGAAAAACAACAGAGCATCCTACTATTTATATGAGGTAGTAATCAAAAGAAAGAAAATGTGATATATTTTACAATTAGGGTTAATAGAATGCAAATCAAAATCATAATTTTAGTTGGTGTAATTATTATGACTCCAGGAAGAATAGCTGTGTAGAAGCACAGCTAATGGAGGCCAAAATAAATACAAAATACAAATAAATTCAAATCAAATCATCCTAAACAAAATGAACAGTCTTTTATGGAAAAATAGTATCTGCAGGTTAGACCTCTACAAGCATCTTCTGAAAGGCAATGGGATTCTTGTGTTAGTTTAACATCCAGAGAGAACTGCAATATGAACAGAATCCAACTTTTTAAAGAAAAAATCAAAAATCTAATCAATTCTGTGCAGCCTTTGTGCCCTGAGCAAATGGGTTCGAATAACGGGACCCGACCTGAACCTGCATACATAAAAAATTTGTGTGGCAGGTCACTGCCGCTGGCCTTCGTATGTGCGGGGGCAGGCCTTGTGAACATGTGGTTTTGTTTGCATAGTGTGTTAAAAAAAAATCCCCCTTCATTTTACTATTTATGCTAAAGTGTACTGTTTAGGACCTTTGAAATGGCCTGCGCATTCATTGGATATACTGGATCTCGAAGCTTTTGGTCGAGTTTGGGACTAAAGCACCGTACGTCGCCTGATGCATTGTGTATGTGCTCTGGAGGCTGTGTTCATGTGTATGATTTGTGATCTGTCTCGTTCACGCTTGTAGTATTGCTTGTGACGTTTCAATGAGTAGATATAAAACTATTCATAATGTGTCTGCTCTGTGTGTGTCATTTTATACATATCTGTCACCTTTATGTGTATACATTAGATAGATGTGTTTACCTGGTGCAGACTTTCTGGTCTCAGGCTCCAAAAGTCCCAGACCATATCAGGGTCCTTCATGTGGGTTTGAGGGTTCCTCTTCTGAGAGTGGATGAACGATGGGAACTAAAATATGAAAGACACAAAAACAATACATTTCCAATTTCAGGGGAATGCCACATGGAGATTTTTTTTTTCCTTTTCAAAAACTGAACCGTATGCTATAGTTGATTATACATTTCATGAACTTGACCTATATGTGTTTCTAGCTATGAGGCACACATGTTCAAATCAAAGGTTTTACTGATAACAATTGTACTACTGATTTATGATGGGGTCAAGTTGTCTCGTATAATTTGGTTCTCAAAGATGATTATCCAACCAGAATTCGTGTTGCCTGTTCCAATGCTGAAATGCAGTTGGTCTAAACCTAAAAAGGACTGTAATCTGAATAATAACATAAACCCCAGCACCAGCATCATGAATCAGTGCTAGTGCAACCTCTGCAGCTCAGTGAGGGGATTCTGGAGTTTGTTAGGGCAATTTGACAAGTCTGTTTGAAAAATTAACTGCAGACCTGTCTACTAAAATAATCAGGACATATACCCATTTCTAATCTAATAGTTACCTCAGTTGAATATTTATAGGTGCACTGTGTAACTTTTCTGATAGAGAGTCTGTTAAATTGCTTCATGGAGATGTTATTGCTTTGTCTGGAATGTTTCACAGTGTGGCATTAAATTTCTATCTTTCATGGGGACGAAACCAGAACAAGTTACAGGTCAGATCTCTGGAGAGGCGAAACCACTCAAAGTCAGAATGCCTGTTTTTCTAAGTATTGAGCCACATGGAATTGAATAAATGTAAGTAGAGCTGTTTAATATCATATAGTGGAACATTCTAGGCAGAGCAATGACAAAGAAAAAGTTAAGTAGAGCAACTTTAATGCACATATGATATTAAGTGCTGAAAAACAAGAGCAGCTGAATAAAAAGTAGATGATAAAATACTAATAGTCACTGTGGTACTACTCCTCACCAGCATGGCGTCCCGGACGAAGAAGATGGGGGTGTTGTTTCCCGTCAGGTCCCAGTTGCCCTCCTCTGTGTAAAACTTCACAGCGAAACCTCGAGGGTCTCTCACTGTGTCTGCAGAGCCAGACTCCCCAGCTAAAATAAAACAATCATTCAAAATCAAGATATAATTATGGGATTATCCTGGTTTGGAAACATCACCTTGTACAGCATAGTTACGAGGCCGGCCACGATAATTACTGCTGGGGGAAAATCACCAGTAGATACAGGACAGATAATACTCCCTACAACTGTACAACAACTCATCCTTATGCAACAGATAATACTCCCTACAACTGTACAACAACTCCCCCTTATGTAACAGATAATACTCCCTACAACTGTACAACAACTCACCTTTATGTAACAGACAATACTCCCTACAACTGTACAACTCACTTTCATTTTTTCATTTTTAACAGATAATATTCCCTATAACTCGGTACTTTACTCTGTAAAGCGTCTTTGAGTGTGCAAAAAAGTGCTATATAAAACTGATGCATTATTCATTATCTGTACAACAACTCACCTTTATGCAATATAATACTCCCTACAACTGTACAACAACCCAGCCTTTAGTAACCCTATGTCCTGTCAATCATCATATCATCTTTGCACTGTTTTCCTAATGACCTTTAGAATAAAATAAATAAATAAATAGATAGATAAATAAACTATTAATAATTACCCTATATATTTTTACTCTTTGCTATTATAATATATTGTGTCCAAATTATTTCCCTTTTGGATCAATAACAATAATATAGTAACAGCATACCACTCATCAATAAGGATAATAAAGCAATACTGCTCAAAACCTAGGTCCTAGAACCTTTAACCCAAACAAAATATCACTGGCATTTTATTTTGAACTTAAAATATGTGCTCTTCTTGATTCTCGGACAATAGCATGTTTTATAATTAAATGCAGGCAGTACACAGTCTTTATTTTGACCTCAAGAGCTGATTATATAAAATATCTGCAAGAAACATTTTGCTCAAATACACGGAAAATAAAATTGAGTACAAAGCCTTTGATTAATAGCTTGGATGTTGGAATGATCATGTTTATATGACTGTTCACAGGTAGACAACAGTAACTTACCCACAGTGGAGAAGCGGACAGCGAGGGGAGTTGTTTTGCCCACATGTTCAAAGACTTTGGCCTTACAGTAGCGGGTGATATCATGGGTGACCTCGAAGTACCCAAAAGCACCTGAAAAATAAAAGGACTACATGAAAAAATGTTTTGTCATTTTAAAGCGGCCTTTAAATAACCATGCTACTGTTGCTGTTGGATACAGTCAGAATGTATTTGGGACCAGAACTTAACAAATCGATTAAACACCAAATTAATCACATGGCTTTGTAATCAATCACTGTTTAAACCAGGTTATTTGCATACAGGTGTCTGTCTCAGGGCAGAAAACCAACCTTGCAAAAAAGTTTATATTTGACAAGATGATACATTTTTGTATGCCATTATACCCCCTCATTTAATAATAAAAAAGCTTTTGCTTCTGTTCAGACAGTGTATTCTCACTGACAATTGGTGAAAAACACCACTGGTACATATTTATTTACAAAGCCACACTGGGGAAACTTCCGGTGAACTTTAGTAATCTCCTTAATATCAGCTCAAGTAGTTACCAGCTTCGCTCCTCCTCACAGTTACTTTCCACTGTGCCTCTGTGCCTCACTGAGCTGGGAAAAGTTGCCTTCTCCTGACGCTCCATGGTCTTGGAATCATTTGCAGAAAGTCCTTAAATTAGAATTTATAGTTTTACTTAAAATAGTGTGATGACTGAGGAGTGTGTGTTTTTCCTGAGAGAGGCAGTTACTGTGGCCATGCAGGTTTCTCTTGAAAATGATATTCTAAATCACTGGAACCTCCAGGTTAAACAAAAGGTACCATAAATAAAATAAAATTCTCAAAAAGGAGCTGCAGGAAGAGCTCTATCACTAAAGTTACTTAGTACTGCTTTAAATCCTTGTAATTCTTGGCATTTGGAATCTGAATTGCACTGTTGATGTTCATGCTGGAAGTTTGCATTATCAAAAATACTTATCAAGCTGTATGTTTGTCTTGTTGTCCCCTGGATGCTCTTTAAAGAGAAGTGCAGCCCTGACCTGCTCCTTTAGCGTGCACAACTCTCTCTGGGATCCTCTCTCGGTCAAAGTGGGCCATCTCATCAGTGAAGACCACATCCTGAACCAGGAGGGGTCCACGGGGGCCGGCTGTCAGAAGGTTCAACTTGTCTCCGACGGGATTCCCTGCTCCGGTGGTCAGGGTGTCTGGCCTCTGTGGAACAAAAACACACAAAACAGAAGTTATTGGATTCACAATTCAATGATAATCCTTAATGATGCCTAGTCCTAGTGGAGATTCATTGAATGCTCTACAGTGGAACATTAATGGTGAAGCAATAACATCTCCATAATGACAAGCAAATAGCACACCCTTCACCAGGATAGTTGTTTGTTTGCACATAATTCACTTACAAGAATGTTTAATCCAGTTATTCCAGTTGTATGATTTTATATTATGTATAAATGTATATTATGTAGGTATATAGGGCTGCGTATCATTAACAAGTTGCCGATACAATATATAGGCAATACAGTACAAATGTTGATACAGTGAGCTTTTGATTTGATATGATACATTTCAAATCAATTCAATATGGTTCAGTAAAAATATAATGGCTGTGATATTATAAGTCTTTGTTAAATCACTTCTTGTTCAAAGTTCATATGAAACACACACTTTCATCGTCAAAACAGTGAAAATGTTAAATGTGTTGCATAAACAAGTTTTCTTCCACTAAAAAAAGCACACTAACAAAATTTAGTAAAATATACCAAAAATAATCTTGGCGATATAAATACTGTATCATCACATTAAACAATAAAATATATTGATATTTTTGCACACTCCTATATGTATATATTATGTATTTTATGTATAAAATGTTGATGAAATGAAATTCTGGTCTCTAGTCAACCAAAGAGGAAACCTAATTTGAACTCTACACAGCGGGGGAAGGAATTTATTGAACAGAGATGTGCTTGTTGACATAACTCAAACCACTTCTACGGTCACCTATAATCCTGCTCAAAACACTGATAAAGTACAATGAAGAAACCAATGTATAATCACTCTGGCCAAGGGTTACACTAGAGTTTAATCACATTTGTGATCTGTTATGCAACTATCAAGGCTGAAGTCCACGTAACACGACTAGTCCTTGTGGACAATGACCTACTTTTGACCCACTTTTGCTTAAACCTTGTATTAGCTTTAAAACAAAAGTAAATCGCAGCTTAACATCGCCTGTTCTGTGAAAATATGATCAAATATGCAACTTTAGCTCAAGAATGTATTGATTTTAGGGAAAAAAATTATTCACAAATGCCCTTTTTTAAGATTAAACCAAACATAACATACTGGAAGAATGATCTGAAACTTTCTGCAAGCTCATTGGTCCTAACTGAGAGAAAAGAGGCTGGTTTTCTTATTTCTTTTTTGAGTGAGTTTAATGTATTCATTGAAGTTAGAGCTTCGAAATTGTCCCTCTTATATATGAACGTTTTTATTCACTGTTGTGTTTTTTATGCATTTATTTTATTTTCATGTGAACTGTACACTTTTATAAAGGTGCCGATTTTGTATCTGAAAATCTACAAAGAAAAAAAAAAAAAACAAAAAAAAACAAAAACAAAAAAAACCTCTACTTTATCTGCGGCGTTAGCATAGCATTTAGCAAAACATTTTACATCAAGTTAAGTTTATTCACAAAAAACGTATTACTAACGCTCATTTGCATATTATTGATAATTAATTGTAGATCAGTGCCTTGTCATAGTTAATAAAACAGCTATTGCGTCGCTAACATAGCCGCTTCTCGTTGCATCTCACTATAGAACAGTAGATCTCGCATTGACTACCGCTGTCTGTTGGAATGAATGCGTCAACAAAAGCCGCCATCTTGGTACAGGGTGACGCTGCTAAATGAATGAACATCAATCGGGGGCAAGGCGATATCAGAACAAGTAGCATTAAACGGCGATTAGTCCTGGTTTAGTCCTGGATTAGTCCTGGTTCAGACCTGGTTCAGACCCTGTTCAGCACTGGTTCAGTCCTGGTTCAGACCCGGTTCAGACCCGGTTCAGACCCGGTTCAGTCCCGGTTCAGACCCGGTTCAGACCCGGTTCAGCACTGGTTCAGACCCTGTTCAGCACTGGTTCAGTCCTGGTTCAGTCCTGGTTCAGTCCTGGTTTAGGTCTAGTTTAGTCCTGGATTAGTATTGGTTTAGGTCTAGTTTAGTCCTGGTTCAGCCCTGGTTTAGTCCTGGTTTAGTCCTGATTTAGTCCTGATTTCAGTCAGCCTGGGTCCAAACACAACAGTTAGAATCACAGGCCTGCAAAATAAAAATATTAACTATGAAATGTTATTCTTTGCTCTTTCGTGTTCTTATTCCGTTCGTTCGCATAGCCGGTGCAAAAATCCGGCATCTTCGCTCAGTGATACTGTGAAAAACTTTACCTCAGACAATGCAACCCCTGTACCAAGATTAACAGATTAATAAAAGTATAAGTAAGACGGTATTAACGCATGCCAAGAGGCTGAACGTGAGATCTACCGTTCTATAGTTAAGGCATCTCACGTCCCCAAACGACCCTTCACCCATTTCCACCCCGTACAACTCCTCTGCGCAACGCCGTTTTTATCCATTTTTGCACAAACCTGAGTGGCCCGAGCCTCTTTCCACAGCTTCATCTGGTCCGTGGCTTTGTCCCTGCTGTCAGCCATGATGTATTGAGCGTTAAAACGTGTTCTGTTATGTTGTTGATCCTTGTATAAAATCCTGCAAGATTCTTCCTGGACTTTGGCTGCACAACTCCCGCCCCCTTTATGCGCCCCTCGTTGCTGATTGGCTGACAGGAAGCGCTTGACCTATATTCTCCACAAACAGGAGCCTGCAGAACTACAAATGTTTCGTATTTAAAGCTCTTATATTATGTCAAATGGACTCTTATGAGCTTAAAACCATGTTGCAATGTTGTTTCCTCCTCAAAGACAGACCTGGAGTTGTGTTTTGTTTCATCTATCTAATCCTTTATTATTCGACTGTCTACATCTCCAAAGCTCAAATTGCTTTGTTCTAATTTGTGATGTCATGAAGTGGTAGTTCTCAAGTGTACAGCTCCTTTTAGTTCAGTAGAGATTGGCAATTCCAGGGGTGAAATTATTCAAATGATTCTAGTGAAAGTGTATGGAGTTTAAAAACACATTGGAACAGTTCCTCTATTAGCACATGACATCACAAGGTGGAACAGAGCGATTTCAATTTGAGAGAAGAACTCAGCCTACATATGCAGGGTTTGTGTGTTAAACATGTGTAAAAGAAACAAAATACAACTCCAGTAATGTTTGTGATGATGAAACTACATTAGAACATAGACCACAAAACAGGACAACATGGGTCCTTTAAGTTCATGTTTTTAGAATACTATAAAGTCTGTTTAGCTGAATAGGATGTGATTGCAACATAACATTAGATGGCAAAACGTCTGCAAATATTCTGTTAATGTAAAACAGATGAATGGACCTTGCCCTCAATAATAGCATATACGTTCTACACGATTTAATATCAAAGTCTATTCAATGTATTCCATTTATACACCTAAGTTTTAGGTTGATTTTCTTATTTGTCATGCATATCGTTGAGATAACAGACCATTTCATGCAGTATACTGTAATGGCCTTTGGCATGAGAAATGCACCTGGAACATTCCAACGCCTTATGTACCTAGTGCTTTAACGCTCATCCTATGTGACTTCGATAAGGCCACCGTCACTTATCTTGGCAAGGTAGTTGGTAACGGACAGGTATGGTCAGGTAATGCAAAAGATGAGGCTGTACTTACCTACCCTACTCCTATTACTTGTAGTGTTGTGCCTTTTTTTAGGCCTAGCTGGCTATTATCAGCATTTTTGCAAAAATGTTTCTGTGTTAGTTGTCCCACTCACTGCACTCTGTCGTCGAATGTGCTTTCCAAGCAGCCAAATCACTCCTGTATAGTGCCCCTGTTCTCTTAGCCCCTGACTATTCTAAACCCTTCAATTCAGAGGTGGATGCCGGTGCTGTGCTATTGCAAGATGATGAAGCTGGTGTCCCCCATTCAGTCTCATACTTCTCCAATAAATCCAAAAGGCACAGCTTAACTACTCCACCATCAAGAAAGAGAAGTTGTCCATGCTCCTTGCCCTCCAGCACTTCAATGTGTATACCGGATGTTACAGGTCAGATCTGTGGAGTGAATCTGCTGTTCACAGTCAGAGTGTTTTTTTTTTGTTTTGTTTTTTTTTTTAAGTATTTTTGAGCTTTAAAACTACTTAATATTACATAAATTTAAGGTAAAGCTGTTTAATGTTATTGTGGAACATTCCAGGCAGAGCAATGACAGTCTGCCCTACAAAGGCAGAACGCCGTAACAAAAATGAGTTCATGTAATTTTGTTTGTATTAGAGACTTCCTTTAGCATGTGAATAAATATCGTGAAAATATTGAGCTCCAAATTGCCCTTTGACCTTATTTGTCAGTTCCTGTACTTTGCCTTTGTATCATGAGCCAAAAATAAGGAGCTAACAAAAGGCCAAAGGCAGTAACAGTGTATGTTTTGTTTGTGATGTTTTGTTTTTGAATTTTCACAGTGACAGCCTTGAGAGGCTCTAGTCTTGTGTGTCCTTACTCCTGTACCACTGTCACCTGGCTCTACTGCGCATGTCTCCTGCAGAAAGAGCCTCTGTCCTGTCTGTATCATGTCAGTCGATTGCACCATTACTTCTGTACCACTGCCAATTTAAATTTAAATTAATTTAAATTTCAGTGACACCGAAACCATCCTGTCGGGATTCAGAAAGGCCAGAATAATTCTAACTGAAACTGATGCTGAGCTGTCTGATGACAGCTACACAGAAGAGCAAGTGGCGCTCCGTTTACCTCCGAAGGTCGCCAAGTTGCTCAGAAGTGACACCGAGGATGGTGAATTCAGTGGATTTAATGATTTGGAGTGAGATGGAGAGTTTGGTAAACTTGTTCTGTTCATATGTGACATTAACAGTCTGTTGTTCTCTGTTCTATTGTTATTACTAGAACTTGACTTTCAAGATCAAATGTCGGTTCTTGGTCTCTGATTTTATAAAAAAAATAAAATAAAAGTGAGACTTATAGTCTGTTGCGACTTATATATGTTTTTTTCTTCTTCATTACTTGTTTTTTAACTGGTGTGGTTTATACTCCATAGCCGCTTATAGTCCAAAAAATAAGGTACTTAAATGATCTTTAAATTGAAGGTATTTGGTGAATTTATTCATTCTGTACATACTATACTGCAGAGTCACTTTTCTGTTTCAAACTGTTTCACTGTGTAAGTGTCGCTGCAAGATCCTGATCAGCTTTAAACAGGAAATCCAAAGCTCTTCTGTATCATTTCAAACAAACTCCATGATAAAACATTTGAAACAAACCCAAGCAAACCAAGTTTGCCCTGATGAAGGTCGAAGGGCCAAAATGCGTTGGTGTGATTTTAACTTTATCTGCCATGTGGTATTAAAGGCTTTTAATTATTTTGTCCTTTTTGAGTGCCTCAGTTTTTTTCTACTTTGTATTTGAGACTGGTCCCTACACTGAAGAGCACCAAAAGGACAATTCTGCACAATTTTTGTATATCCAAGTAGCACTCCTGCCTCCAAAGCTTTGCAAAGCCCACGATGACTCGACCTTGGTGAGGTATTTTTCTTATAATGGATGGAAGTCTGAGGAAAATCAAGCAAATAATGATCATGTCAGTTTCTGCCTTTTGTCTTTGCATGACTCTTTATTTTCGGCTCATGATACAAAGGCAGAGGACAGGAACTGACAAATACAGGTCAAAGGGCAATTTTGAGCTCAGTATTTTTCACATACAAATATTTCTTCATTATAGCAACTAGTTATCAAATTGTAGCTCTGTCTATTATACGTTGGTCTGGACAAAACAGAAACTTTGAAGTCATTTTTCTGAGTTTCTCACTCTGGCAAGTTAAGGTCTTTTTCCTTTTATAAGTGACGGACCCACCCAAACAAAAAGTTTAATAACGCACCTTTAAGAATAAATCAATTACAATAGTTCTCGGTAAAAACTATATTTGATTTGACCACGTTTACCTTGTGCCTGTGAACACATGCAGGTCATGTTTATGTCATTTCAAGTCAAAATCTTACATTATTTCACTGGCTAAATGTACATATTCCCACACGATGTACAATGTTTCATGTTTAAATCACTTTTATTTCAAACTGCATTCACACAATACACAGTTTGGTCATGCTTGGTCAGATGGCGGCTACAGCGTCGTGAAACCAAATGCTAGAACTCTGATTGTAAATGAAAATATTGCTGTATTATTTGGCACATTAGGAAACATAGACAGTTGTATTACTGATTTCTTGAACTTGTGTTGGAGTTGTGATCGCTATCAAACCTGACTAAAGTTGAACGTTACTGCTAAAAAACTCACAATATTTAACATAAGGCCGATGCTGTTAGTAGATACTGTAATTCACATTCAAATGAACTTAACCGCACCATGGCACAACAGTGAAAATTAGCATAATATTCAAGTCCACTGGTTCTCAAAGTGTGGTGTGGGTCCCCAAGAAGTTTGTTTGGTTGTTAATTAGACCAAGGTTAGTATTGTTTTAGAAGTAGTTTTGAAATTACGATTTTAATCAAACACGTGCAGGAGAATTGACAAAAATACTGGAAGAACGGGCAAACTAATAGAAGAATTGCAGAATATGTTTTTACAGATTTAACTACAGGGTTAGCAGGTTTTTTAATACAGAAAAAGACAGGAGATTTTGTTGTTTGTATTTGCTAATTGCGTCTATTCAAACTGAAATTTCAGTACAAAAAGGTGCAAAAAGTGTCTTAAAACAACAGCAGGAGCAAAAATAAAGATGAAGAGTTTGCCACGTGCTTGTCTCTGTGAGGATGTTGTTGTCTTGTTTAGAATATTAAACAGTATGGCATTATTAAACCATATATCTCCATGGAGATGAACAACCAGAACAAGTTACAGGTCAGATCTGTGAAGAAGTAAAACCACTCACAGTAAGAAAGCATGTTTTTCAAGTTATTTTTTTATCATTAAAACACTTTAATAGACAGATAACAGAAATGCCACAAAGTTTCATATGGTGCACCTTTTAACACTGCAAGCTTCTACTTTTATACTTAAATTTTCTTCTGCTTATCTGGGGCCAGGTAACGAGGATACCAGTCTAAGCAGAGACACCCAGACTTTCCTAATCTCAGACACTTCCTCCAGCTCCTCCAGTGGGACCCCAAGGTGTGTCCAGACCAGCTGAGAGGCACAGTCCCTCCAGTGTGTCCTGGCTCCTCTCTCCAGGGAGGAGTCCAGGAGGTATACAGAAGCAATGCCCTCCCCTCAGCTGCTCCTGTCCACATGGAGGAGCAGCAGCTTTACTGCGAGCTCCTCCTATATAGCTCCTCACTCTATCTCTGAGGGGAGGAGGAAACTCATTTAGACCGCTTGAATATCTGAAGTTGAATAAAGGCCTTTATTGTCAGTTTCTTCACATGTATGGGAGACACAAAGGAATCAAAATTCAACCTGTCACCCCGTCTGTACATTACAAACACACAACACAATACGACATGGGGAGACTAGACGTGAACCGGACTGGAAGACAGGCAGCTACTAGGAATGAACAATGCAGCATAACATGAGGATGGGGGAAGAGAAAAAAAAGAGGACCTCCCCAGACCATGCTCATTAACTGGGGCATAGTATGTCATAAGTACACAAAACAACACCTCTGTGACATCA